AGTACTATTTGTCGCCATTGCTGAATCCTTCATGAGTCAATTTTTTGTGTAGGCTTCATGCATAAGAATGGTTTAAAATGTCTTATTTTCCCATTGGTAGTGGCTCTATCAGGAGATCTTCGCCATTCGCCCAGACAGCGGAGGAGTTAAAGCAGGAAATATGAACAATCAACAGAAATTTAACCTAATTGCTGGTGGTGCTGGCGGACGCAAGGATATGTCATTTTCGTCCGAATATCGCACGGACATATTAACTGACATGCTAGTATGTGGGTGGCTAAATTTAATTCAACGTTTTTCGCCAGTGAATTTTTGTGCACAGAATGATTTTTGGCGCCACTGATAGTCCTAGAAAGATGTTGCATTAATGGAAAAAGAAGTCTGTGCTTAACTTCTCTCTTTGCTGGATATCATCCTTATTAATCTCATGTACTTATTCCTTTGCTAATCGCTCCGGCTGCCTTAGTCTTAAACGGACAATTTGTCTCAATTAAATCCAGTTGGTGTAGCGTTGGCCGCTCGAAGCGTCACCCAGGACGGGTGGACAATAGACAAGAGAAATGAAAAGCATTAAATAATTTCGCAAATGTATTCTAGCTGAACATGTTGAAATTCAGTACACTCTTTGCTTTCTTATAGAGATTTCGAAGCTTGTTTGCGGAAGAGCCTCGTTCTAACCTCGTGAGTTTGTTGCTTCTGACCCTCGGTCTATATTTTGGGTACTTTTACTGGCATTTTAATCCTCTATACTTCAATCAGATTTTGCTATGCATAACCAAATCAACTTCTTTGTAGTTCGTTTGAATAGGGAAAGTTCAACTCTTTATGGCACACAAAACCGAATACTGCTTTCCCAAATCTTTCGAAATCTATATTCGAAAGGTTACTGCTTTTTTCACATTAAAGTTCCCATGACTTTACATTCATACTCTTTTCTTGCCTGTTGATCTCTTGGCCCATGTGACCTTGGACCTATTTTCCACAGACACCGCAGATTGGCCTGTCAGTTATATCTGAGATTTTGGGATCTACTTCAGTGAGGGTTTTTCTTTTGCCACTCTTGGGTCCCAGTAGTTGTGTTCGTGGCAGTGTGAACACCCTCGGGTCTCTGCATTCATAATAACCGCTTTGAACTTTTTGCACCTCTAAGCACGTAGGGGATGAAAACGTATTGTTCCATTGGGCTGAGAGGATTTTGGACTCCTCTTGCACCCTCTCTCCATTCTGTTTTACCATCATTGCAGTTGCTGCTCCATTGATGCTCTACATGATTAATAATGCAGTGAACGTTTATTTATCCATCTACTTTGGGCACTACTAGGTCATCAAAAACCGATCCAAGGGGAACAAGGTAGTCTAGTTGAGCTTCCTGTAGATAGAAAACTTGGATGCATTTTTTTGCCATTTGCGGCGCAGAATTAATTCTTCCTTCAAAAACGTATCTTCTCATGTGTACCTTTTTGGAAATCGCTTCGAATTCTAAACAACTGTTTAATTTCAAAAGCTTTTTCATGTAATTTATCGAATCGGAAGCAGCTATGTCTTAGCGTCGCCTAATATGTGCCATTTGTCTACCAACCCTCGTCAAGGCGCAGTGAGTGTGAAAAGGCGCTGCCAGAATATAATGTTCATCAAGTCCCTTTTCGATTTCTAGAAACTCTCAGCAGTAAAGATTGCATGGTCTGAGAAAGAGAAGCCCATTTTCCTCGAAATTACTCCCATTTCAATCGATCAAATTGACCAGGCTACGGGTGCGAGGGTTGCTTGCTATGCCTACCGCGACATTCAATATCTCGCTCAGGTGAGATACCACTCCTACTAATAAAATTTCGGTAGAATCAATTTTACAACGTTTGAAATACCCTAATGCTACGGCGTTCTTTAGGTCATTGGCCCCCAGGGTGCATTTGCTATCGTCTGTGGAAACCAGGAACGCATTGTACGTCGAACCTCATGCATCATTTGTGCCTAATGCGCTTTTTTCAGCATCTCTTTCGGTGTTCTGATCCTGTCAGTCTCATAAACGCAGCTGTAGAGGCAGCTGCTTTATATCTGGGGCTAATTCTCACTCGTTCACCTTCACCCTTGAACATTGATTGGTGTCTTGAGATGCGTCTAGGTCCGATGGCGACGTAGGTTGTGTAATTGTAAACTACCTCCTTGTTAGACCTGAGAATATGATATCGACAGCAGAATTCGTGTTACAGAAGGTTGCACCTTATCGTCATGGTGACAGTGCTCCGCCAATTTCAAGAACTCTCTGCCTGACAGAATGCTTTCTTGTAGAACGCGATCCGATCTCGTACAGACCAATATCAGCTCACTCACTGCGTGAAGTAAGTGTTCTCTGCTCCTTCATCTGTAGCAGAACTCTCCAGTCATTAAAAGGATTCGTGCATATTATCATTGAGCCATTTGACATTGAAATACTAGAAGATGCAACAGACTGCACTTTTATATGTCAAAAGGCAGACTAATCATTAATAGAAAGTTCATTTAATATTCCTCTACGATCACTTGAATTTTGCTATCAAGCGTGAGGACAAGGAAACTATGTAAGAAGAAGCGTTTTTAGTCCTCCAATATCGCTTTCAGCTG